CTGGGTTTTTCTGCCGGTGCCATAGCATGAGCAGGAGTAGAACGGCTTGACGAGGCAGCAGCACTCGTAACAGTAGCACCCGTTCCCGCAACACTTCCATTAGTTTGGTTTTCATTCGTCATATTTCTGTAAAGTTGAAAACAATACAGAACTTTGTTAAATCAGTGAAGTTTTGATATCTTCAAACTGAATATCAAACCAAACATACAACACGTAACAATGGTGAAGTTTTTATATACTTCAAACCCGTACGTTTATTATTCCGGCAAAGTTTTTATGTACTTTAGATCGGACAGAAAGAATTATTGGAGTAGAAAGCAACAAGGCTTTAGTCTCCAAAACAGTATACAAAATATGAATAACAATTAAATATATGTTTCAACACAGAAACGTTAGTATAAAATTCCTTAAGCTTGTGAGCGTTACTGTGTTAAAACACAAAATCAGAAAAACTGTTAGAAAAATAAAAGAAACTGGAAAAACAGAAGAGTTTAAGAAATATTCCGAGTCCACAATTTGCTTGTGTGTCCTTAAGGAATTTTAACCCCCTCACACGTTGCCAAGGTAATGGATTAAATCCTCCCAGGATAAAACGGAATAAACCTTCCTGCAACAGTGGCAATACAAACTGCAGGATACCAACAGACTCAAAGAACGGAGCAAAATCACACTTACGAATTTGAGAGAGAGAGACTGCGAATTAGGATGCAGTATATTCAGAAAGAAAGAAGTTCTGGAGTATTTTTTGTGTTTTGAAAATGGAGCCTTGCCTCAGAATTTATAGGCAATTATCAGAAGAGGTGTCTGGAAAAGGTGCCTTTCAGAAGAATACGCTGCCTGCCGCGGTTCTACCGCGGTCAGAGAGGCTTTCTGAACCTGCCTGCCGCGGTTCTACCGCGGTCGCGGCAGAACCGCGGCCAGAGAGGCCCTCTGATAATCTTATCGATCGATCATTTGACAAATCCAAATCCAAATCCAAAGCCAAAGCCAAAGCCAAAGCCAAAGCCGAAGCCGAGCCGAGCGAGCGACGACGACGACGCGAGGGTTCATTCTCTTCAACTCCTTTTAAGAGCTTTAAGAAGTGATTCTATATATAAGCACACAAATGTGGCTGTCCCTCACCAATGAGGGACAAAGTGCAAGACAAAAGTTCACTTCTTCAAATTTTCAATTTCCCTCCATTTTATTTTCCTCCATTTCCAATTCACACTTCTTCTACTTTAAAGCCCAATGGCTTAAAGTCCAACAAATGATATTTAAAATATTTCCTAATTGGTTTCCTAAGCTTTCTTGTATCAATTTGTAATTTCTAACAGAAATATGTTGTTTATTTAGATTATGAATCCAGATATAGCAGACACTATCTCTGATGATATCAAGTTCTTAGCACAAGATGCAAGAAGATTCAGTGCTTGTAACATTAATGGATTCAAATTTTGGACTTTGTCTAGAGAACAAGGATTAAAAACTCAAAATAGTGGAGTTTTTCTTGTCTCTGACACTTCGTGTGTTGCATCTAGTGCAGATAGATATGCAAGACAAGCAGACCTGCCATATTATGGGATGTTGGAAGATATTATTGAGCTTAATTGTTAGGTCGGTTCAAGGTTGTTCTCTTTAAATGCCAGTGGGCTGACACTACTCGAAACAGAGGGTTCCAAATAGATGCTTGGAAGTTTAATTGTGTCAACTTCTCTAAATTGATCCACACTGGTGATCGTGAGGATGATGATCCATATATTGAAGCATCACAAGCAAATATGGTCTACTATATTGATGATGAAACTGATAAAGGATGGAGTGTGGCTGTACATCTAAAGCAAAGAGATTTGTTTGATATAGGAGAGGTTGATGAAGAAGAAATATACGAGAATGAGCCATACCAACAACAAGAATTTGGACATTTTTTTGATGTTGATTATGAGAATATTCAAATTGCAATAGAGGAGCATATGACTGAATAGATATAATAAAATATCCAAATTGCAATTGCAACAAGAACTTGGACAATCTTCTTTTGCTTGATTAGAATAGTTTGATTAGTATTTTATTTCTTCAAAACCTACTATTTTTTGGCTAAGAAAGTGATATTTATTCTTTATGATAGAAAGTTTTGTGATTGTTTGTTGCTCGGGTTCTGCGTTGAATTCGGTACGTGTTTGATAATCTATTATAATGTGGATCTAACATGTTCAAACATTTCTTTGAATGTTTACTTTTTAACCATATTGGATTCTTATTTTTTATATTTCTCAGTTACTACTGTTTTCATAAGCTATATTTTGTTAACTTGGTATTGTGGTATGCAGTTTGATCCTTATAGACTATGCAATCCTTCATGGTGTTGTTGTATTTGCTAATATTGAGGTAGCCTTCTTGTGTGAGTAGTCTTTAGGGAATTGCAGATATGCCAAGGTTCAAGCGTTTGCTGAAAAAGCAAAATTCAGATAAGTCAGTATCTACTTCACAAGGTACTGAATCAACACCTCCTTTTCTTCAATCAACGCCATGCATGCCAACACATCCGACCACGTCAATTTTGGCCACAACACATCTGGCTCCATCATTTCAGCCCACATCACAGGCGGCTCCAACATTTCAGCCGGCATCACAGCCGTCTCAATCAGTTCACTTAACATCCCATCCAGCTCGAATGGATCAGGCCGCATCACAGCCATCTCAGTCAGTTCACTCGACTCCAACAGATCAGGACTTATCACAGCGAGGTCCAACAGTTCAGGACTCATCACAGCGAGGTCCAACAGTTCAAGCCTCATCTAGAAAGCGTTCTGGGAGCCATTGGACTGTAGAAGCAATAGGTAAATACTTTTGACTATTAGTACATATTCAGCAGTCCCTCTAAGTCCCTTCAGACCTTACGTGAAAGTTGGTTACTTTCAATTTTGTGATGCAATTGCAGTACTTATCAGGTTTTCCCTGCATGCTCGTCTTATCTTTAAAAAATTCAACAACTATATAGTGAATTTGGTGGCATTTTCTACCTTTCCACTTGAGTTTCCTTTCAATTCCAATCTCAAAGAAATATTGGTAGGGGAAGGGGGCATTTTTCAAGAAAGGCATGTTCTCTCTTTTCATACTCTACTTTGGTTTTCTTTAATTAGTAATGTTATTTGTTGTTCTTGGTCTTTACTTAGAAGAAGAATAAGCGGTATTTTTGGTGATGCAAGGTTTATGACTAAGCCTTTGCTGAACTAATTTAGTATCCATTCCCATCTCTGGGAAAGCAAATTGACTGCATCATAGTACTGCTGAATTTTTATGCTTTACTAGGACCAGAGGAGTAATGGTAGATTTGAACATTATTGGCATGGTGTAAATAACTAATGAACTGGATTACTTGAAAGAGCATTTAGTCATTTAGCTAGTTTTAGGAGATTTTGTATGTAGTTAATCTAGATCAGTATCATCATAGATTTTCTGGAGTTGTTAGCTATAAAAGAGCAGCAAGTTGTCTGATCGAGCCCTGTTTTGATTCTTGTATCCTTCTGTCCAAAATGAAAATCATGCCTAAAGCATCAGAAGTTTCTTGTTTTAGTTTGTTCGTCTCTCTCATGGATTCAGCTGATCTCTTTTGTTATACAAATTCAGCAGAAAATATCAAGAAACTCAAAGTGAAAGTTAACGAAGTGCTAAATTTAACGCGCGAAGAACGTATTGTGGTTGATTTTGATTACCTGGATGAACCATTTGGAGATGCACGCGGCCTTCTTTCAGGCTTTTGTGGAATTTTAGCATGTGACTGCGCTTTATTTCCTATCCACTGTGAGAAATGGTCGAGTTTACCTATCTCATACTTCAACCGCGTCTTCGATCAAATTATAAAGGTATAAGCTCTATATTTTTAGAACTATATCACTATTTTTTTTTAGGAGAAAGACAACTATATCTCTATTTTGTCTTTGAACTTTATACTCGCATTTAATAGATATGCTAACCAATATTTTATTCTTGAAGACCAAGTTCTTCTTTAAGACAACCGAGTCAGTTGCACGACAACATGTTTATAAATCTATTGGAAAGAAATGGGCTGCAAATAGGCTTAACATGTGGAGTACATCCGAAGACCCACTTAAAAGTAGAGCTGAGATTATTGATAATGTGCCAGATGGAATTTCGCCGGATCAATGAATTTCTTTTGTTGATTACCAATATAAAGATTCAACAAAGGTACTTATGTAACTGTTTCTACTAGTCTTTATAATTATATTATTGTTTGTTCTTCTAATTGGGTTTCAAGTATATTTTTATAAGGAAATGCGTAAAAGAAATGCTGAAAATAGAAAAAAACAGACGATTCCACAAACAGGTGGTTCCAAAGCCAACGCTACGAGAAGTGCTGAGATGGTGAGTAAATTAACTTACTATGTAATTATTTCTAGGTAGTAACTAATTATAATTTGATTTTTTATTTATAGATGGCTCAGACTGGACAAATGCCCGGACGAGCACAAATATACATTGCTACTCATAAGACTGAAGATGGAGTATATGTTAATGAAGAAGCAAAAGAAATATGCGTAAGTTGTTGTGAATTCTTAGCTTATCTTAAGAAACAAATGTGGAGGACTATTTAAGCCTTCAGTGCCATCAACTGTTCTGGCATATTTAAGCCTCTCTTCAATTGGAAGAGCAAAGAACTATTTTCTTCAAAGGATGGCAAATTGTTGGTATAATGTCAATTTAGGGCATCTGAGTTCTGAATTTGAGGTCTTAAATAATGTCAATTTAGAAAAAGGCTTAATCTAAGGCTACTAAGTTTTTGTCACAATCTAGAAAAAGAAGATCAACTGACCTCTCTGATGGAAAGCTAAATGTTACGCACTGTATTAAATTAAAGAAGAAGAATCAGCACTGCACCTCTGCCTGATATAATATGAATTGATAAACTAATTATCCCATTTGATGTATGACAGCATGAGCTACATTAGTTTTGTTTTAATTATTGATCTCTTGGAGCAGCTGACATCAAGCAGCTCAGCAGTTAGTGGTATATATTCTCAGTTCTCCTGATTCTCAGTAGTATTTCCTCCCAAAACCTCCTGCACCGCGACCATACGTTGGAAGAGCTGCTACTGCCTGTGGCTCAGCAGCTTGCTTGACAACACCAGGAAGATCAGACATGCCGAGGGCTGAAAGCATGTCAAGGGTCTCCTTGTCAAATTCAATGAGATCAGTTTTGATGGCAACTTCCTCCAGGATCTTCTTGTTTGTGTGGAAATCCAAAGTCATTTTGTAGTAGTACTTCTCAATTACCTGTCGAGATGACTTCTTCACTGTCTTGGTGCGTACACGACCCATCCTTTCAGAGTTTCCTTAGACCAAACAGAGTTTCTGAAGAGAAAGAACCACAGTCGTGTGCGGCAGCAACTGAGCAAAGTGTACTATTCTTGTATGTTGTATTTGTTTTCTTTGAATAACTCATCTCTCTCTCTATTATATTTTTCTTTCTGATTCTAGCATGAATTAGTCTCACTTTCTAATGGGATGCACAAATATCTTTTTTCTCCGGCCAATAAAAAAAAGGCTGCAATATTGATCTAAATTTGAGTTTTAAGTACAAAGGAAGCTTGAAGAGTTACACTTTTATTTGCTTACAGTATTTAGTAGAACCTAGAGTTACTGCAATTTCTGATTCTGGCATGATTTTTTATACTTTGTCTTTTTTATGCAGCCAAGTGATGCGGACAGTGGACCCCTTTCACCAATGGACGCAAGAAGATCATGAGGTGATAGTAATTCTAGTGAAAACCGTTGATTTCATTGCAATTGCTTTTAGATAATTAATTGTGACGATGTAATTGTGTGGTTGAAGCAGATGTTAGAATATTGGAGTGAATATTTTGTGTTTAAAATAGTTTTTGAGTGATGCTACTTAATGTTGACAATTTAGTTTTAAAGACTAATGATATTTTATGATAACGTTTTGTGATATTATAATATGTTAATTGATATCTTTTAACTTTAAAATAATTTTTTTAGCTTTGATTATGATTTACAGCTTAATTAGTAATTTGTCAATAATATATGAATTAAAAAATTCAATAAATTATTGAGGTTATGACTGACAGGAGCTATAAATATATGCTAATAAAAAAAAAATTACATTGCGTCATTGCGGAGGTTTAAAACCGCCGCGATTCGTAACTGAAAATTATTTTAAAAAGATTTAACTTTGAGATCTGCGGGGGTCAACCGCCGCGAAGTAACCTCCGCTACTTAGTTCTGGCGGTCAGCAAAAAACTGCCGCAACTCGATTGCGACGACCCTTATTGTGGGGGTTTTAACGACTGCCGCAACAACATATTGCGGGGGTCTTAAACCGCCGCAAACCTTAAAAATAACCCCCGCAATTAGGCCGGCTTTTGTAGTGATGACCAAAAGGAAAAAATAAGAAGAGGACAAGTGGGAAACTCCTTTTTAAATTTATATTTCCCTAACAAACAAGATTGTCATTGGTTTACAAAGAAAAAAAAAATAAAAAAAATATTATATTTAATATCCTATTAAAGTCAAGTAGAAATTATCGTAGGTAATAATAGGAAACTATTAATATCATTCATCAACCTAATTCGTTTTTTGGTGAAGTTCTTACATTAGAATTTTAAAACTAAATTATAAATCTCCTAAAATTTATGTTTGAATATTGAAGCTGGGGAGGAAGAATGATAATTTTTGAATTTGGAGTCGTGAAATTATAAAACTAAGATAGGTTTAAAATTGAATATATTAACAGATGATTGAAAAATATGTGGTAATTTTTTTTATTGAGTTAGGTACTCAGGATCAACATCTATCATTGTCAGGAACATATACTTTTATTTTATAAACCGAATATAATATTTTATATAATATTTTAATATTTTTATTGAGATAGTGGATATAAAAATGTTACACAGGTTTTATGATTCTGTATCTAGATCTTTATTTAGAGGGTGGTAGCCCTATATCCTTTAGCTTCCACTTTACCATCAGATGTTTTTCTAGCTTCTCGGAAGGGGTCTGGATCCTGTTGCCTAAGGGTTGGAGATAAGATAAATTTAGGATCGACCGTCTGTTCATATAATTTTATTTCGAAACTCATCTTTAAATTATTGTTTGGTTATACATTTAATTTGTAGGCGCTTGGACAAAAAAAAAATTAAGATTTGAAAAAAAATTGAAGCTAAGTGGAAAAAACTATTAGAAAATTAAATGTGTATTTGGACATACATGTCACTTGAAAATATATCATAATTTTGTGAGAGAAAAATATTATTTATTTATAAAGGAGGTAAACGTCACTTTTTCAAATTTGAAACTCATATATAAAAAATTCTGAAACTCGTCTTTAAAAATTCAGTTAAATATATAACCAAATACTGATTTGAAAATACTTTTTGGAAAACGAGAAGGAAAAACCTATGTCCATATGACTCCTAAATTTATGAAGATGAGTTTAAAAATTTTAAACATTTTGAACATGAGTTTCAAATTTGAAAAAGTGAGTTTTATCTCACAAACCTGTAATACTTTATAAAGTCAAATGTACGCGCAAATACAATTTTAACTTTCAAATATCTTTTTTCAATTTAACTACAAAGATTGCTTTTTTCAAATCTTAGCAATATTTATATGTCCAAACACCTACTTTACAGTACACCACAACCACCGAAAGATTGTCAAACATTATTCAAAATTCAATCTAATTGAAAACTACACAAGATTACGACAGCTTAAAATTCTTTTGTTAAATGAAATGACAAAAATAGCAATACACATCTATACGAAGAGTACAAAATCAAACTATTTTGGATATCAAGTATTAAATCTGACCATATATTACAAATCCTTCCAAATTCTTGCCTATCTTGACCTACTTCTTTTTATCAATCATGTATTCTCAACAATGTCAATATGTTAAACAAGTTGATGACATTTGTCACTTTAGTGCTTGATCAATACAGTAGTTGTTATCAAATAGCCTAAGGGAAATAAATCATACTGAAGTGGCCCTTGTCGTGAATTTGAACTTCTCAATGATATTTTTTTGACGGGCAAAGATCACTTGTAGTCCACTTTTGAAACAATAAATATACAGAACTTGTACATTATATATATATATATATATA